ATGTCTTGAGCAAGTTTTATCTTCTCAAATTTAATTCTTTAAATGTATGAAAGACTGGCAATTATCTACATTTATTAAAATAAATAATAAAAGAAATGTTAATGGTTCTTGTAACAATTTAATTTTTCTTATTTAAATAACATGATTCTCATAACAGGAAAGAGAAAATTAATAACATGTTCATCGTCAATTTCAATTGGTCTCTGGACGGCACTTATTCGTTATTACGTTCATGAAGAACCTTTTAATATATTTTGAAAATTTTTATTACAGTTCTTATCTTTGAAAACGTTACAGGAGTTCAGGATTATATCTCGTTATTTGCGTAGCATTTTAATACAGGACTCCAAGTCATATTACAATTAGATCAACCAGTCAAGCTCAAATTATGAAGCCCCTTAGCCTCTTCATACAGCTTAACTGGCACATTACACGTCAGCAAGTTCTGAGTTTGATCTTCATTTGGTCCGAAATGTTACAATGGCCCCAAATAAAGAGAGGTTCGAAGGTTAGAGGTATCTAAATTCTCGATATGCATAGCCGAGACATGCCTCACTTCTAGGTGTAAGGAAGAATTTGCCACGAGCGCATCAGCTCACATTCTGTAGGTTAAATTACATGAACCTCTATGTTAAATTGGAAATTATTTGAAAATGGACAATGGGTTTTCTCAGCTCAGTCAGTAGAGCACCTGATCGAGTTCAAGTGATTTTGGGCTCAATATTTTATCTTCTTCAATTTAGCAGCTAACTCTTTATTGCTTTGTGCATTTAAACAGATTCGTTGTGCAGAATAATCTGCTTCTGTAACACAGAAACTGCTTTGCTCGTCTCAGAATATACAATGAGGCTTTTTATATTACTACAATCCAACTGACAACTGAAAGTAATGAGATATTATTCTTTCTCTTATAACTATCTTACGAAAATAAGCATATATAAATAAACGGAGGCAAAATATACCCACCACAGAACAATACCGGAATGATCTTTTAATTAAAATCTCGATTTAATATTCATCTTCGCTGAATTCATAATGTGATTAAGATCCAATGATTTAATTTTTATTTAGTACTCTCCGTCGACCCCGTACGGTACTAATATTCTGTTGTTTCTTTAAATCGATGCCATATGTATAGCGGTTTAAATTAAGGAAAATTTTAAACGGCATTCCTTTAATTATTTATCAGAAACCAGTTTATGCACTTCAATGGCGGATTTATGAAGTGAAGGGGCATATCAGTTGGATATTTGTGAGCTCTTTGTTTTATGTTTGTTATTTTAAAAAAATAACTAATTAATTGGAGCCTTGAAACAGAGGGGGCCGAAACGATTGCGAATTGCTCCTTTGAGTAAACTGAGATTGGTAGTTTGATGCAGGAATTCATTTTAGTAATCATATTAATTTTTAAACTGTTACACAGTACTGAAAATTCGATAGCAATGTGCAGAATATGTAACTTTCGTCTTCTAGTTTTAAATAAATAGTACAATTTCGTTTTTATATCATATCAACTATAGTAGTTGTTAGCGAATACAAGAAACAAAGCATTACCATGCATTTCTAATTTGCATTTTGGAAACTTTTCCAGTTCTTAAATTTACATATTATATATATGAAAGATAATGGATCTATTAACGATTTAAAAAATCGTTTTACACTATTTGACTGATCCTCACTGACATATATTCCAGAGACTCTATTGTACGGCACAGTTATTTTTCAGATGCGTACAAAAATAAGCTCCGAACTTAGCTTATCATCAAACATCATGTTAGAACATATACCGGGTGAGGCGAAAGTTCGTTAAAACTTTAAAAATTCATAAAAAGAGGAAGAAATTACGATAAAGAAGAGCGGTTTGCAAGAAAGGACTCACAAGGACAGAACATTGTGTAACACAATTAAGACGATTCATAACACCTGTTACAGCTGAATGCAGCATGTCGGACTGAATTTCGAAATACTTACGACAGGTAGAATCTTTGAGTTCAGCCGATGTTGAAGGGGATAAATGGAACACAAGTGGTTTCAAATAGTCGCACTACCAGAAGTCGACCGGAGTGAGGTCGGGTGATCGTGGAAGCCATACGATTTTGCCACCTCGATTGATCACTCTGTCTGCCCCAAAGGTACTCACCAAGAATCGTTTTACTAGATTGGCATAATGTGGCGGTGTCGCCGTCCTACATAAAGCTTATTACAGATAACACACTTATTTGATTTAATGCGGGCACGACTTTATCACTCAAAAGAATGAGATAACGGTTACTGTGCACGTTTTCGGCCAGATATGTTACACGGTTCTTCAAAAAAGAATGGTCTGACAATGAAAGATGAGGTGAAGCCGCACTAGATCTTCATTTTGGCTGGATGCAATGACTTCTTCGTGTATTCATGAAGATTTGACGTCGCCCATATACGAGTGTTCTAGGCGTTGACATGCCCGTTCAGTGTGAAGTGCGCATCCTCCATCCAGAAAACGCTGAACACGCTTTCAGTTCTTGCCTTAGACCACTCGGCAAATGGATCATAGCTGTGTCTCCCGGTCGTAACTCATACAGTGATTGCAATTAAAAGAGATAGAGATGCAATATACCGTGAAGGATACATCGAATCGATGAGTGAGACCCATCCAGTATCCTTCCAGCTATACGAGCACTGCCACTCCCTATGGATGATTCCTCCACTATATCATTCATAGTGGTTTCCACGGCAGTAATTCGGCGCTTCACCAACGAGGGTCTTCCACTTCGTGATCGATTCTCCAAAGAGCCAGTTTCTTAGAACCGTGGGACAAGCTTTAGTATTTCAGAACATGGTACAGGGCCATTCCTTGTCTTCAGTCCTTTCGTCGTGCGAAATTTCGTCATGCGAAAACGCAACAGTTGCCGACTCTCCCATTCAAATAGAACACCTTCAACAACAACGCTAGCTTGGGTAAATGATAGCATTCTGAAAGAGGAAGATAAATCCTCGTGTATGACAGTTTTTTACTGCAAGATTAATTTGCATTATTCTGCTAAATCTCTCGCATGTCAGCGCACTCTACCGGTGGCATTTTTAACTAAAATTGTTTTTGCTGCTAAAACCATCCGACTTCCTTGTGAGTATTTTCTTGAAAAACGCACTTCTTTATCATAATTTCTTCTTTTTTTTTTATGAATATTTAACGTATAACTTTCTCAGTTGTAGCCGAAAAAAAAAAAAAAAAAAAAAAAAAAAAAAAAAAAAAAAAAAAAAAAAAAAAAAAAAAAAAAAAAAAAAAAAAAAAACCGAGATTGAACGAGTAATATAACTCCAGTTCTATATGTGAATGCATGAAGTTTGAATGATAGCTTTTGCAAATAAATATATTATTTTCATTTTTCTAGTGTCTTATCTTTATAAAAATTAAGATTTTTCGTGTCTGTATACTGAAGAAATCTTCATTTGAATAAAATAAACATTTAAATCCTGCTACAGGATTCGAAGCAATAATAGAATCCTTTATAAAGATGTTAAATAAAATGTAGCTTATAACAGGTGTCTATAGAAAATCAATTGGTAACATAAACATTATGGTTATTTAACTGCGATGACTTTGTACTGAGAAGTCAGTCACCTACAATTGTCGATGTTGTTTCTTTTTACTGGAAATTTGTATACGGCAATTGCTTGATGATGATCTTCTGGACATTTGCTATGTCTCCTGCAGGACAGAAATGTTATCAGAACTAAAAACTAATGCTTATTGGATGTGCCTCAAATTTACTCTTCTGATAATCTAAGTCAAATCTGAGTCTGTATTTCATAATAAATATTTCTCATCTTGATGGGTACTAACAGCCCGCTTATTTCATTAAAACATTTTAAGAACCCCTTATACCCAGCAGACAGAACCTTTTTTTTTTTTATCTAAACATTTTTAATAGCCTGGGTTAAGAATGCTACGTGCAAATTAAATAATCGACTTTAGGAAGTTCAGCCCGCTCAGAACACAATAGATTTTATTATCCCAAGTGTCAGTTTAACTTCGTTATTACCATTTTTTCCACAATTTTCCCCGAAGCGCTTGCACAAGTGTAGTCTGTAGTTTGCCAAACGTAACTATCTTGCATTAGAAGGATTTGAAAGCTCCCACCAAATCATTTTCTTTGCAATTTGGCTGTAGATATTCATAAATATTTTGTAAGGTATTTTCTACCTCCTTCCAGCATGCCTTCGTGGTGTATCAGTAGCACAATCGGCCCGTATTCTAGAGGTCCAGGTTCGAGTCCCGGCGAAGACACTCACATTTTTTACATCTCCTGCTTCAAAATAACGTAATGGTTTTACAGTTTAAAATACAGGTTTTAGACATTTCTTAACAAATATCGTTTTTATTGAATAAAAGTTTTGACAAAAAGCGACTTTAATTTTACTATTGCATGTTTGAACCTGATTATAGAAATGCAGCCGTTTTTTCATACAGATTGAACACATTTTTATGATTGTTCAGATTTTGCGAGTTTTAAACTATCTGTTTTATAATTGTTATTCGATATACAACATTTAAAGCGTACCGCTTTTCTTTAAAGCGTAGTTCTTTAAAAAGCTTGCTCGTTTTCTCCTAGCAATTGTACTGTATTGCTTTTGGTTCTATCTTTTTTAGAAGCCGATCTCTCTTAGCTTTTGCCTCGCAAAAGTCTTTGATCCGTAATCAACTTTTCCTTTTCTGTCAGCAGTCTTACATATTTAATGATAGTTTTTTTGAAGAGAAACAATCTGCTTTAATCTGCTGGTTAGAAAATCAAAAACGCTCTGCCGTAAATGCTAGACTAACTATAAAATGAGTTCCCTCCAATTTTCTTATTCAAATTTCCATGAGGTACTATGAGATTCAGTAGTTTTGCTTCCATATCTTTTGGGTTTTATGTGTGTCGAGAACTTGTTGGTAATCCTGGAGCAAAGACATTCTGTAGTATAAACGTAATAATGATATCAACGGGTGTATCCATTTAAGACAATGAGCAATTAAATTTTCCAAATATTCGTTGCGCAATACCGTTTGGTTAAATGCAACTCGTGATCTTTGAGCTTCAGCTGTTTTCGGTCTAATTTACAGACTCAACTTGATTTCCCATTCACCTTCTGGTTAATCTCCTGAAAATACTGACTGATGACGATTTTCAGATGAACATTCGTACAGATTTCAAATTTCATGCATGTCAATAATTACAATATCAGTATTAAAAGCACTGATCACGCAACAACTTCAGACGAAATTAAATCACAAACTTCAGATGAAATTAGATATGTTCCTACATCTTTAAGATTTACTTTTTTCTCTTGGTATAAAATTATATACAGTAATTTTAACCCATTAATTTTATATGAATGTGGTATTCATTAAAATGCTGCTTTAATATTCTAATATTTCTATTCCAGAGTGTCATTTTTCACGTAGAAAACCATCCTGATTATCCACAGTTTCTGCAGTGTGTCAGTTTCAACTTTTTTCCTTCGCTTTATCACAAGATGGTGTACAATATCTTCTGTCTGTTAGCTCTATATGGAGTGCCTTTGTTAATTATAATTGCGTGTTATTCTCGCATACTTTGGGAAATTTCAAGAAGATCCAGAGAGTCTGATGGTAAGTATAATAATCATCAGCAATTCATATAAAAATTTACAACATTTATATAAATAGATGTATTTTGTTATAATGTGGATATTGATTTAATATCTAATGCAATGATACTTAGGATGCCAAAGGCCTCACCTCACGAATAATTCGGTTCACGAGCAATTATTTGAACAAAAAACGCCTCGGATGACAAATGGTGTCTCGAGAGACGAAAACGCCTCGGATGGCGTATTTTCAAATGAGCAACTTACGGTTTTCGAAAATATTTCGGAAACTTCTGGAAACATCATTTTAATATTTTCCATTGTTTAACTGTCATTAAGAAAGCTGGCAGGGAGTTATTACTGGACCTTTTTCTTACTTACGATATTGTGTCTCCAAGCTTGGGTTGAGAAAATTAACAATAGGCACCTAATGAAATTACTGGAGAGCAATAAAAATAAGTTCAACAAGAAAGAGCTGAACAGCGTAAGAAGGAACATAAAAAGATCTTGAAACATAGGTCTCCAGATGAAGATGAAGAAAGATGTGAGGATCCTAATTCCCTGATTCACAAAATTTGTGCGAAATGGTGTAAGATGCAAAGCTTTCACGCAGCGATATTATTCTAATAAAGTAGTTGTAAACTAGAGCATAATCACTTTCAATGAAACTGCTTGTGTTGCACAACCAGTCGAGAAAAAAGGGATAAAATCCATACTTGATGTACGAAATTCAACATGCGTTTCTCATGTCTTAGGACATATGCTAGATTTATTATAGCATTGTTCTAATACATTATCTACCAAGAAGTATTTGGACACCCATGCAAATACCGATATTTGCGGTCATGATACAGATCACGTCCTCCACCATTAAATATTGCGTAGGAAAGAACATTGGCATTAGTGACAAGCAAGATGCTACAAAGTGAAGAGTTAACTGATTTCGAGAAAGGTGGAATTGTCAGGTATCACAAAAATTTCCGATCTTTAAGGGGCATATCTAGTAAGCTGAATTACCCAAATTCGACACAACATACTATGTATATGTGATTATGGTAAATGTGATTCAGAAGCGCATTGCGAGCGGTGATTAGACCTGAGAACCTGAGAGATATGGACCGACGGGTGCTGTCTAGAGAAATTCGGAAGAGCCGCACCCAGCTGATGGGCCACATACTCCAGGAGTTTCAACAGGCAACCGAGAATGCTATTTTGAGGAATACCATTCATAAGACAAAAGTACATCTACGTGGTTTTCATGGTCGTGCTGCTGCCTTTGACAAAATGTCCAACCGCGCTGCTCGGTTAATGTGGTGCAAAGCACGCTGACAGTGGACCATTATTCAGTGGAACCGAGTTCATTGAAGCCACGAATCAAGATTCACTGTCTGTGGTTCGGATTTCAGGGTCTAGAACTCGCTTTTGCCTGTAGAACGTCTGCTTCCAGAATGCATTTTGCCCACACTTAACTTCGGCGGAGTTAGAATTATGATCTGGGAGTGTTTCTCCTGGTATGGACTAAACCCTTGGTCCTCATTCATGGTAAACTCAACAGCGACGCATATTGAACTATTTGGTATGACAGTGGGATACCTACATTGTCGCATTTTTATGAATTGGGTCCATGTTACTTTCAGGACGACATCGCCAGCTGTCATGTTGCGAGGCCCACCATGGATTGATATGATGACAATGTATGAATGGGCTGACTTGCCCAAAGTCCAGATCTGAATGCTATCGAGAACCTCTAGGACGAGTTCGATAGCCGAATTAAAGGGCGCAACAACCGTCTGATATATGTGAAAAAGCTGACATGTCTCTTCCAAGCCGTTATGCACGGACTTGTGAAAAGCATGCCCCAGAGAGTTTCGCAATTTGTAAAACTGGTATGTCATCTCAGAAAAAGTCCGATTTTCAGTCAAAATTCTCATATTAGAATAATACTGTATATTAATCTTATATATATATATATTCTAATAGAGAATGAAAAGATTTTTTAGACGAATTTCGTCAATCGCCTGAGTAGAATGGAAAATATAGAAGTGTCTCCCTCTATTTTTTTCTTTTGAGTGGCTGTACATTGAGACACAGCTATGTCTCCTTTTAGAAACATCTAAAGACATAGGCACAATAAATCACACTGGACAAATTTTGAATAAAATGGAGGCTTGGTGAGTTTCAAATAGATATGACTTATGTTATGAGAAAAGGAAAAGATAAAAAAATAGTTGTTTGTTAAAGAAAATTACTCCACGTTTTTACAAAAGAAAATTCCACATTGTTCTCATCATTTTACACTAAAGCCATTCACTCTCCTTTCGTGTATATACCGTAGAATTAAGTTATGTTTTCGGCTTTTTATCGTCTATTTTTACTTCTTTGTACGAAGTAAGGAAGTATTGTAATCTCAAAAATTTTTCAGTATCTGTTTACCAGACGTACAGAATAAAGGACTCTTGCTCTGGATTAAGTTTTGCAATATACATGTCTTAAGCGGCATATTGCTGGTATCTTGACACTTGCATGGAGCTATACATTTTCTTCATTTCTTTCAACTGTGTTAATTATTATCATTTTGGAGCTGCGATATGGATCAGTATTCGTTTCCATCTCCTTTTATTATTCAGAAAATCATCCAATTAAGACGTAAGAATATTTTATACGAAAATGTTATGAAATCTCGTTTTCTTTGATAGTATATAATGTACGAAACTTTTAAGACCTTAAGCGAATTATCAATATAACTTGTATAATATAATTTCACACAGACTGAGAAAGGACCCTTTTATTGAACTCAAATAAAAGTTAACAGAACTCATCATTCGTGCTTACAGTATAGCCAGCATTTATCACTTAAACCAAAAATAATAAGTTTGACTTAACTAAGCAAATGTAAATTAGCCCAACGGCTACACAGATAGAGAAACGCGTAAGTTGGTTTGGACCTAAGGTCGGCGTGACAAGCCTAAATGACTCGAATTACGCAACGCAGCAGAATACAGCTCTCAAGAGAATCAAATTAATAATGTGGCATTCAGCAGGCAGAAGACGCTCTAATTCAAATCTCTAAAACCTTCCTTTAAATACAATCTCCTTTCTATCTCATTTGAATATACGTAAGTTAGAAATTTACATTCTGGCAGATAAATGGAAAACGGGAAGGTAAGAAATGCAAATTAACATAAAATAACTGGTTAATGAAACTAAATGAATCCTTACAATGTACCTGATGTGCCCAAATTTCTTTCCTCTTTTTTTCTACATTTACCTTGAGATTTTTTGCAATTATTTTTGAACGGTGGACTAAGCACATTCATCCTATTATTCCTTTCCAGTCATGTTTTTTCTTAAATTGAAAGTTCTATTCCATTAACTTCTAACTGTGCATCTTCAACTCTCTACTTTCAAATACTTAGGAATTTGTTGTTTCAACTTAGTGATAATATTTGTTTTAAAAAATCCGTACTTAGAGTTAAAATTTATTTCAGTGATTGAATACATTTTATTTTTACAGTCTGGTCCCATTTTAATGACGAACTCAAGCCATTTCTTGTTCTGCTAGTCCTTCAAATTATGTGACGTTAACAATTGCTAACAACTGCCAAAATATCCTATTATAATGATTAAAATATTTTTCTATAGTTACGAGAAATAAACTTTATATTATTTCGAAGTAAACGACACGTTCTAGACATATATACTTTTTTTTTTTTTCCCCATTTCTTCATTTCTAATTGAATCTAAATGATATACGAGTACTTTTCACATAAACTAAAGTACTTGTGTTGAACTTTTACTAGATATTTATTGTCCATTAATATTAACATATATAATGAAGCAAGTAATATCATTAAAATATTTACTAAGATCTAAGATTTTTAGATAATTACAGATAACCAAAACTAAATTATCTGTCTGATTCTGCTGCTATTGCCAAACATTAGAGCACAAAATTTAAATTCAGTATAAAACCTCAGTGATTAACTTACTACTTCCTGCTTCAGGAAAAGGATTGTTTAAGCAAAACGCGTTCACCTAAGCCTGATACTACAATGATTCCATTATTATTACCACTAGCAAAATGAGATAGCTGGTATCTTCTGTCTTCCTTCTAAGTGTATAAATCGTTCTCAACTTCATGCTAAGAGCAGTATTTTGGATATGTGAATAACATGTTGTGAATAGACATCTATCTTTTCCACTAGCTATACAGCAGCACATTAATGGGAAATGCTACAAATGACTCAGAATTATGCGTAAGCTTCAGTTTTAGAAGCATAGAGAATAAGTTATAATTTAAAACTTCCTCTGCAAAAGGATCAGTTCACATTTTGTAGATCAAAACTTGTGAAAATATGTGGGTGAAAATATTCTTCGATCCCTCTCTCTCACACACAAAGTACTAAACATTGCAGCAGCGAAAGTATATAGGAAAAACTTTTAAAATCTTAAAGCGCATGTCTACGATATTGTCATCTTGTGATATTTTGTAAATGTTTTATTTCTTACAACGAAGGTTTGTAAGTAGTAATTGTGCCATGTGAATACAAGCCAGTTTCCCTTACCAAGATGATTTTTTCCCCCGTGTTAAAATCTCAGTGACATCATTCGGCGGATACCGACTTTTACAAAAGCTTGGTTACTAATAATTAATGTAATTGAATTATACTAATTAATAATATATTTCTATTCGCCTCTCCTAATCATTAGTTATGTAGCTATTTTAAACATTTGTGACAGTCCATTCTGAAACACCATCATCTCAATTCAATTTTAATGAATTCAAAAATGCACTTCTTATTGAATTTTCTTCTCATCTTTCGTTCAAGTATTCTTTACTTTGTTTGCAGAAAAAATGATCATCAAGCTGAATTACGGTTCTCGAGATTTCTTTCATAAATTACAATGTTGATAAAAAGGGAAACGTAATTCACTTGTGCTGTAAATGATACATTAACGGATTTCTTTTAGAGTTTTCTACGATATTTTTGTCATTTTTAAAGGAAATAACAGACAATTAAGATAATATTTTTTTTAAAATTTCTTTTGCTCTTAACGAGGGGAAAACTTTTCTTTAGTGATTTCTAAATCCACGAAAGGGACATTTTTACATCACTTCTTTTTAACACAGGAAACAAACTTATGCTGCCATAATACAGCAAGTATTTGGCTGGAAACGATGCACTTCTCCTGAGGATATCAAACGCAAAATATCTTTTGGTTTAATGAATGAAAAAACTGCTAGTTTACACCTAGAAAAATAAGCTATGATTTATAAATCAAGCCTAATTATCTCAAGTTTATTTGATGCTTTTGAAAAATTATTTTTAGCTTGGTTTGGATCTTATCAGGTACTCTTCCAGATGTAAGGTCTTTATTTATGTAGAGAGTTCGAAAATTATAACTACAGTTTTCATTTCACCAGCAGATATGTACTTTCAAAATATATAAGTTCGAAAATTTTATAATTGCGATTAAAAAAGTTTGAAAGAATATATCTATTAATATAAGATTTAAATTTTTTATAGTTCCCTTGGAACAAAGTTTCCAGTTTTCACGTATAACAAACAGCCAATATTCACTTATCTTTAACAAAGCCAATATTCACCTATCTTAACAAAGCCAATATTCACTTATCTTTCAATAATTTATTTAATTCAATGGAAAAGAAAGGATGATTAGATACGTTACATTTCTTCAGCTGTCCTAATCAGTATATTAGTTAGTGCTTGTAGCTGCGTAAGTGAGTAGTATCTTTGCGGCATGGAGACACTTAAAGTACACGGAGAATCCTCTCCAGTGTTTCTTTGTAGGGAAGGAAGATATGATAAATCTGATACTTTACCCTTGTATGGCCATGTACTTTGACTTTGCATTGATTTCGGAGGGTAGCTTTAGATAGTTGCGATCTCCGGACGATATCCGATTAGTCTATGTAAGCCTCCCGGGTGTCCGGACCTTCTCTCACCTGTCACCTGTAGGGAAAGAAGGTGGGAAAATCTTGGATTTTTCCTTTAAAAATGAAACGGAACTAGGCAAAGTCGTATCTTCATCTATAAAGTGTCCAGGGCCCATGCCGACGACAGACGCAATTCTGTGCTTTCTCGCCATGATAAAATTCGTGGACATTTTCCGGTATTACTACGAGACAAGTGACATAAGCAACAATAATACCACTTTTTGAAGTATAATACACATCTTCATAGTAGCGTTTGATAAAAGTTTAGGAATATTTATTAACTCTGCTAGTTGTGAAGGTATTTTTCTCTTTCTGCTGTCGCAATAGAAGACACAACCTATTTTATAACTAGCATCTGCATGCCAGTAAGTAACAGAAACAGGGTTACTTGAAAATTTGCGTATGGTGTCACTAATTTACTGACACTTAAAATGGCTTACCATAATGTGATATCTGCTTTAAAATATTTAAAAACTAAAACTACTGCATGTTAAAATGCGCCATAAATATTATGAAAAGAAAGCTACGGTTTAGCCATGTGTAATTTATAGACCTTTGTAGGGTGACTGGAAAGATGGCATAAAACCACTTGAAATGTTAGTGCCACCAAGCAAATTTCACATTCCTCCAGTCCAGCACTTTCATTTTCTATGTTTTACTCAGCACATATGCATGACATGTTCTCTTATAATTCGGATGTATAAACACTTTCAAAATGTGCATATCTGGAAAATAAAGCTACTTTATATTTCTGAGTAAAAATCAAAAATCGTCAGAGGATTTTGTACCATTTAAAAGATCGGTTCTTCTTCGAACATCTTTTTATACCCAACAAGCCATCTCTATTAGGAGCTTTTACGTCAACGGAATACGCCAATGTTTTAATTGCATCAAATATAAATTTTTTCAAACCATTGGCATGTACTATCATATATCAATTGCCTGTTTTAAATTAAACAGTATATTTTCTAAAACAGATTGTAAGAGTTTAAAGGAATTTTCTTACATGTGACACATCCATAGATTACTCTTTTTAACCTCAAATGGTAGCAGCATATAATTGCAGTAGTAATGTGTGAAGAAAGATGAGAGTATGGGAGATTTAATTTTAAAATTTATCCTGCCTCAAGTAATAATGATGATAACTCTTTTTGAAATTTGATAATCAGAACTTGGTTGGGGTATTTCATATATTTTTATCGGTGCTACACATAAAACTCATATTTATATATTTTTTAAACTTCTGCGCTTTCAGTGGTTAATTGAAAGAAACAGAAGTTTTACTCTAAATATTGTTTCTTACACTTAAGTATGTATTTTTGTCACTATGTTGTCGAATACATTATATCAAACTGTTTATAAGCTAAGGAAATTGTTTACGAAACAACGAATTGAAATTAATTAAAATGTTCTTATCCGAAAGACAATGTTCCATCAGTGAATAAACAGTTACGGCTTCCGAATACTAGGCCTTGAAACTGGGATAAATACCAAGTGAACGGGCCGGCTATATGGTTGGCTTTGGAGGTTTTCCATATATAACGTGAATACGAGATAGTTTCCTTTAGAAAACTTTTCTCGAAAGCATCCTTCTTCTTAGACAGGTAACATTCGTGCTCTTTGCCATATTCCAGAAAACTATAACATAACTTAAAAGAAAAATAATACATTTTTTATTTGAATAATGGTTTTTTACATAAATAAATAGAGTTTTGAGCTCGAATGCATTTTTTTATCTGTTTCTATAATAATAAATATCAAAACAGGAAATAAAAGAAAAGTTTTCATTCGTTGTATTTTTCTCATTGTGTATTTTCTCAGCAATATTCATTGTATATCTTATTTTAGGAGACTTATCCCAGGAACCTCGCTACAGACAACGATTGTGTCTCAGAAGGTCTGACATCGCCCATATTGAAAGAGCCCGCGCAAGAACTCTCCGAATGACAATTATTATTGTACTGACATTTTTTGGGTGTTGGACACCTTATGTAGTCATAGTGTTGTGGTACGTTTTCGATCCAGTTTCTGCAGATAAAGTAGATTCCCGCATTCAGTCTTCGTTGTTCATGTTCGCAGTATCTAATTCTTGCGTCAACCCTCTCGTCTACGGGAGTTATGTCCTCAATTTCAAGCAGGTTTTTAAGAACATCTTTTGCAGAAAACAAGCATCAAACATCGGATCTGCGAACCACACTCAGATTACTACACCAGCTAAACGGATACCCATCAGAGAACCAATTCAGAAGGCTATATCCGTGCATTTGAGTTTGAATGGGATAGATACATATTCATCCTTGGTGAAGAAGGAAGACATACTTATCATGTCAAATCTGCAACATCATAACAGCTGTGGGAAGCTGCCGAATGAAAGCCGAACATGCTGTTCAAAGACTAAAATCGAAGCTAATATTCATAGTCTAGATCGTTAAGTTTGCGGATTATGCAAGAGGCAGGTTTTTACTTAAATAATCCTGACATAAATTTAAAACTTATAATTATTAAGGTATCCGACATTGTTCTAATCGTCAGTTTTAATGAAATGTTTCAAAAAATTATTAATTTATTTTAAAGCTTACACATGTGTAAAGTCATTAGGATTTTTGAGACAGAAGACATGAAAAATGAGCAGTGCCTTTGCCGGGACTCAAACCTGGATCTCTCGAATACGCGCCGAGTATGCTACCGTTACACCACGAACGGTTTATTTTAACCAAAAAATTCCGAGTTCCATGCTCGACTCCATTCCGGATATGAATTCCTGGGGTATCTACAGGATTCCTTGACAGTGTTTTTTAATTTACATTGGTCAAACTAAGAGAGCCTTAAAATTTCGCGTTAAGGAACATGAGGCATATCTGAGAAAAAAAGGAAACACAGAAGTCTTCTGTTGACCAGCATTGCTGGTCCGAAAATCACACTTTAAATTTTTCTGCAGCCAAAGTTATTCAAAAAAAAACTTCCATTGGTGAATTAGATTTTTTAGAGACATTCACATTGAAAAAAATCTTTCTGTTCTATTTAACGACCCTAATTCCAATCCATCTTTGCCTTCAGCCTTTGAGGAAATTATGTTTTATTTATCATTTCATCAACAGGTGGTGCCAGTAGCTTAATTTATGTCCAGTCTTTTATTATCTTATCTAATCAGTATATCTTATTTGGTTCCTTTGTGCTTTTGCAGTTGAGGATGATTGTTGGGTAAAACCATCGAAACAATTTCTGTTAAAATTTGAGAACATAACGCTGATTTTTGTTGTTTGACTTCTAAATTAATTAATGTTTAATGTTTTATAATTAACACTTTGAGCCTCAAAAATATAATGTTAATAATAATTCTTCCATGAATTCTTTGTATATACATTGAATCTATTCAGATTGTTATGAAAATTATTATTAATCAACATGATTTTTGAAAAACGGAGTTCGTACTTTCATATTCTCATAGAAATTGTGTCCTAGAAAACATGGATAATTTCAGCACTGGTAGATGGCCAATTCCAAATATTATTCGCAAAAGCTAAAAAATTGAAAATATTTATATTTTCATGGATTTACTGTATAATTATTAATTATACAGTAGGATTATTAATTATTAAGTTAGGATTCTAAAGTATTAAAGCTTTATGAATATTAATAGCATATTTTTATTTCCTGAAAACTTATAAAGTTTAACACTACTTGTGTTAAACTTCTTTCGGCATACAAGATATAACAAAATTATAATATATTAAAGAATGTTATACATTAGTAAATCACAAAAAAGGGGGGAAAAATCACTGAAGTTTGAGGGAGGAAATAAGCATTAAATTATCCTAATTTATATTTATTAACCGACCTCTCAAGGCAAATCGAAAATTATGTTAAAAAGTTCCAAATTTTTAAATTAAATATTTTTTTGTCGTGAGGAATCAAACGTTTTTTTTTTTTTTTAGGGATAGGGGAAAGTTAAACTTCATACATTTTATAAAACTGATTTTCTTTAATTTAAAAATGCCAGGCACGAATATTTGCGACATTATAAACATTTTTCCAACTGGAAGTGTATATCTGCGACAAAATGCTGCGAAAATAAAAACTGCTTAATAATTTTTGTGGACACTGCGTATATTGAACGAAATATATTAACCTCATAAAAGAATTCAGAAAAACCAACTACTAGATTAAGGATTTATTTACCAAATTTTAAGCCTAGTATGTGATTTTTAATGCAGTTTTAATCATAATATTATTATAATAATATGAGTTTTAGAATAATTATACGCTCAAGAGAAATGAATAAGTTGCTTTCATTAGTTTTTAGTAGCATATAAATATCTAACACTTCTTCAGGACATCGCAGAAGTTTCATGTCTTGTTGAAAGAACTCATGACAGTGCAAGTAAGTATAAATGCAATCCTTTAAAGACTGCTACGCTGATAAGACCGAATGTTATTCCTCAATACTCAAAGGTGACAAAGCAGTTTCAGCTGATGTATTGGGAATCTCCTAATTTTATTAATATTCGTGTTAAAGCTTAAAATTGTATGATTATTTATACAATTTACAGCTATGAATTTGTAATCCGTAATATCGTGTCTTGTTAAACTTAGTAATGTAACATGACTGCTTTAATTCAGAAGATGGGTAGATTAATTTTCTTTCTACACAATCACATTTTTCTCAGCTTTTACCCTTTAAACAACTAAACGATAACATTCGGTTTGAAGGATTGCATTTATACTTACTTACACTGTCATGTGTTCTTTCAACGAGACATGAAACTTCTGCGATGTCCTGAAGAAGCCTTAGATATTTATATGCTATTAAAAACTAATGAAGGCAACATATTCATTTCTCTTGAGCATATAATCATTTTAAAATAATAATCCTGATGCCCCTCAAACTCTTGTTTAAATTGTATGTTGAATCGCATAAAATGACTTTCGTGGTGCGTAGGCTCTTAAACCTTTGTGGCTCAGTGTTACATAGAACATCCAAATTGAATCGATTCTGAAACCTTTAAATTCAACCGTAAATAGATAAAAATGCCTTTATAATATACTTTGAACTTTTCTTTTTAAACAGTAGATAGCAGCATATCACAAGGAGACACAGAATTTTCATTTATTATGAGTTATTAAAATCCACTTTTTTCAAGTAATTTTCTCTAGTTTTTTAATGATATATAAAATTTTATTTGGAAAAAAAATTAGGCATAATTTTGCTGGCTGTACTGCAAATTATTTGTTCTATATTTTTTTTTAATCTTTCATACAAAAATCATACGCAGAATCCCTGAATAAAACTGGGTGTTCCATTAGCGGGAACACGGCGACTTTAGCGATCTCATGCTGTTACGAATCAGAACATCTGTGCTTAGGAGAGAACATCCGTTGTTTACGTTTTCTGTTTCTGTTGTGTTGGGCGGGAATGAATTCAAACAAAGCAGTATTGAGGGATGAGGTGTGTTTTGTGTTATGAAAGCCTTAATATTGGCATCTCGAATTTTTCGGGAGTAGTTTTATTAGTAGCTTGACTCATCTTTACTTAGACGTGCGCGAATTTTTTGCTGTTGCATTTTAGTCTCATTCCCGTTTATTTCCAACAATTGTGTATATATTTTTCGTGTATGTATACATTATAGGCTTATTTTTCTTTATTGTTAATATTAATCGTAGTTAATTTTTTTATTATTAATTTTCCATAAATGGCGCGGAGAGCTCTATCTCTTTCCGAAAATTTGTAAATATTTCTGTATATACGACTCGTGTATATAGATATTTATCTCATTTATCCGTATATATTCAAGAATATTGTGCATATCCAGGAAACCTTATATACAGCCATAATACAGAGTTTTTTTATTCTTATACAAACGCTTCTACTCATTTTCGTGCTTCACTGCAATGCTCGTTTAGTCGCACTTTTAAAAGCTCTGGCGGCGCAGTGTTCCACCTCATGGAACACCCACAGAATTAAAACGGTGTGTGCAATATTTACAAAATTTTACCTGTACACTCCTTTAGGACTAAATAAACTGCATACAACTTTTTTTGTTGAAATTCCGACGTTAACGTATAGTGCGCCGCAAAGGGTTAATCGCTCACAAGCATTTACCACAGCAGCCTGAATTCAACAAAGAATCGTTATCTTATCTTATTTTTCTTGAACACTGCGTGCAACAACATCACGCTTGTTCAGCATTGCTAAAAGTCTGTGGATCTCGACATCGAACCCGCTATCGACACCCTTCGCTAATATTATTTGCTCCACGAAGTGCACATGGAATCCTTTATGACAGCTTACTGATAGTTACAGTCTTCCTAATTATGAAAATATTTGAGATTCTATTAGTAAATTTACGTTTGCGCAGTCTCTACAGATTATCATTATATTACGCCCAAGTTTGAGCTGTTCTGGAATACTGGAGCGGTTATAGGATGTATTGGTTGTTATCACGCTCTTCAATATTCTTCATCGTAACTTCATTTGTAAATTGTAATATGTCTAACGTTTAATTTTAAATTACGCATTTTTTATATGTTTTTGCATATATTACATAGTTACAAAGTTGGAAATTTTCCTGTTTACTTTAAGAATTTTTATGTTTAACGGGAATTTCTGTTCGCGTTTTGTCAACAGTGCACATTCGTAATATATCTTAAAACTTCTGATTGGGCTTTTAACATTCTGTCTATAATTCTTATTTATAAATGCATCTCAAAGCTTCTGAGTCATTCATTCATTATTTAAATCTTCCTTGTGAAGAAAGTGGTGCTCTTTATAGTAAATAAATAATCATTTTATAAATGTATTTTTCAAGTGAAGTATGTAGAAACAATCTGAAATAACTAGCCAGTTGGTTTTGAAGTAATTGTTCTTTTTATTGATACATTCTTAAATTTCCTTGAACTATTACATAGATGTAATTTTCAGTTTTAATTGTTGTATACTAGGAATAATGTTTTATCAAAATGTAAGTATTTGCAAGGATGTACTGTTGAAAGAGTAAATAAATTTAATAAGCATGTCTCAAATTTATTTTTGGAGTTTGATTATATTAAATATTTTATTATTATAGATTGGCCATCAATGAATACGCAACTAATTTTTTTTTTTTAATTTCAGCTAAATGTTAATATTGGTTACCTGAAAACGCCGAAAGTTTAAGGATTTTCAAATTCTAAGCACTAAAATAATAATGTGAAAAAAGTTGGAAATTTAATACACAATTTTGGAATAAGTTTAAGAATTGTTATGTCAAGCAATACGTTTGAAGAAATTAAAAACACTACTTATTATACAAGATTTAAGAGATCATATTTTTGATTTTATACAATTAATTAAAAATCTTTTGATCGAAATTTGAAATAATGAAGTTTACCGGAACAACAATGGAAAAAATGCTAAAAAAGGATATATTTGGTTTTATTTTTACTCTTATTTTTT